TTAATTTAATTTAATTTAAATTAATTTAGTTTAAATTTAATTTAAATTTATGTATATATTTTTTCATACGTACTTCTGCTTATAATTGTATTCTATATATGTTTTTTGTTTTACACTCCCTCTCACCCCACTCTCTCTCTCACTCCCTCGCTCTCCCTCTCCGTCTATGTCCCACCCACCTTTTCTCTATTTTTATATATGCACAAATTGATCAAACATTCAGACGAGAGACGAGCACGAAAATTAAATTGTTAATTTGATATTTCAACAAATTTCGACACATTCCTTGCATTTCTAACTTATTTCTCAGTATGTATGTGTATTTATGGGTGTGTGTTTTTGTATATGTATATGTGTGTGTGTGTGTATCTTCTAGGTGTTTGTTGTTTGCACTAAATTTCAACTAAATTAGAATTTAATTTGCATTTAAATCTAAATAACAACAGTCACGACACGTGTTCAGCTGTTCAATTGGACGCTGTCTTTTTGCCCCTCACTGTTGTTGCTGTTGTTGTTGTTGTTGCTGCTACCGATGTTGTTGTTGCTGCTGCTGTTGTTTCCATTTGCTGTCGCTGCGCCGGCGAACTTCGCCGCGCTGTCGGCGAACTGTTGTTGGAGGCAGGCGAATTCGTGCTGCCGACTATGGCGAGGCTGTTGCTGCTGCCGCCCGTCGAGCAGGCGAACGAGGAGATGCTCGTCGTCGCAGTCGACGTCGCCGCTGCTGCATCGCTGGCGCCACCTGTTGTCATCGCCGGCGTCGAGCTAAGGGCCGCTTCGCCGTAGCACAGTTTCGACATGTTATCAATTGCCTCGACCCACTGTATGGCATAGCCTTGGGGATCGTCCAGATAGTAGGTGCGATTGGGCTGCAACAGAGAGAGAAAGAGAGAGCGTAAGAGAGAGTGTAACTGTATGTAAAGCACAGCAACTGGTTAGAGCTATGCATAAATACATATGCATATGTGTGTGTGTGTGAGCGAATGAAAAAGTGTGACCGAAAGCCATTAAAAACTATTGTCATTTAATGCGTTTTTTTGTGTTTTATCTGCGTTGCGTGTGCAGTTTTCAATGTCGCATATAATTGAGTTATTTATTGTTGTTGTTGGGTCGTAAACACGTGCCGTCGCTATAAACTGAACCCTCTTCGTATGTGTGTGTGTGTGCTTGTAGGTGTTGTTCTTTTTTTTATGACACTTGACGTCATCATTAGTCGCTACGGTTCAACAAACTGTCAGCAGCTGCGACTGCCACAAGCAACAGCAATATAAATAGGCCTAGAGCCAATAAAAGCGGAATGACAGCAACAGCAACAAAAATACCGCATAAAATACTAGAAACCAATTTACCGTATGCACGAAGAAGATCTTGAAGTTCTTGACCTCCGCTCGCAGCTCCGGGCTCCAGGGTATCTCGCCCTTCTTGATCATCTGCACGGGATCGATGTAGATGAGCCGCGGCCCCGTCGTCAGCAGCAGCATCCGCTTCCGGGCGAACAGACCCTTGCGCTTGTTCACCAGGCCGCGCTTCAGGATCACCTCGCCGTCGGCAAACGAATGCCATTTGTCAGACTTTTGTGCCTCGAGCCGCTGCAGTTTCTGGGCGTCGCTCAAGTCGAAGGAATCTAAAGGAGAGAGAGAGATAGATCTTTAGTAATGCATTCCAGTATTCCAATATTCCAGTGCAGCACTTACTTTTCGCCGTGGAAGGTTTTTGGGCGGGCGCTGCGGCGCTGCTGCCCACGCCCAACTCGGCGCTGAGCAGCCGCGTGATCTGTCGCTCATCCAGTCCCGGCTCCAGATCCCCGCTGATGGGCTGATTGTAGCTGACGCCGTTGACCGTGCATATCGCATCATCTTGGCTGACTCCGGGCAGGTAGGGGTAGATGGGAGGCGGAGTCTGTTGGCGCAGCGTTTGCCAGTCGATGCCGGCGAAGAAGGGATGAGCCCGGATGCTCTCGTAGTAGCCGAACTCGTCTTGGGCGCCCAAGCGCTCGCGGGGATCAATCTTGAGTAGCCGCCTAACCAGGTCCTCGGCGTCCTTGTCGAATCCCTGCGGAAAGTCCACGGCGCAGCTGAGGATCTCCTTGAAGATGACGTAGTCGTTGCTGCCCCTGAACGGCGGCAGACCCGATATCATCTGATAGATGATGCAGCCGAGTGCCCAGAGATCGGCGGCCGGTGTGATCGGCGCGTTCTGCAACACCTCCGGGGAGACGTACTGAGCGGTGCCCACGAAGCTACCCCGGCGCGCTCGCATGTTAGGGTATCGCCGGCGATTGCTGCGCACTCCCTCGCCATTGGCCGTCGGCGCCTCGTCCTCCTCGTTGTCCTCGTCCTCGTAGTCGTAGTACAAGCGCCTGTCGTCCTGCTCCTCCTCGTCCAGCTCATCGTACAGCTCTTCGCTGTCCTCGTCGTCGTCGTCGGAGCTGCGCGCGGAGCGCCGACGCCGCTGCCCCTCGCAGCTGCCGCTGCTGGCGAGCAGATCCGACGCCTGCAGGCGCTCGCGCGGGGTCATGACCTTAGCAGAGCCGAAGTCGGCGATCAGCGTGTGCATGTCCTCATCCAGCAGAATGTTCTCCGGCTTGAGATCGCGATGGACCACGTTGCGGCGGTGCATGTGCTCGCAGGCGAGCAGCAGCTCAGCCGCGTAGTGGCGTGTGCAGGCGGCGTCGAAGCTGCCGACGCGGTTGATGTAGGGCAGGAGATCGCCCTTGCGGGCGTATGTCATCACGAAGTAGAGGGAACGCTGGTCTTGGAACGTGCAAGAGAGATTGACGAAGCCTGGAACACTGGTCATCATGTGCATGACTTCGCGCTCTCTCCTGATGTAGTCCTGTTTGTGCTCTCGCAGTATTAGGCGCTTCTCGCACACTTTGACTGCAAGCAGAAAGAATAACGGAGATAACGGATTAGTCGATTGTGAAAACAGCTGAGCGCGCAGCAATGAATAGAGCCGCATTGACAATAACTGTAAAATTCCAATAGAGATTTTGCTGAACGATAGCATAAGGAATGCCCACACACACATACACATATGCCCATACGCTTATGAAAAGAGATGAGACAATTTATACATACGTTCGCGCACAGGCGACACTGTTGTCCAACCCAATATGCTACACTGTTGCGCCCTACTACCTTTTGACACTTTGGTGACCATCTCGAATTTCGTATACATATACACATGTATGTACACATATGTATGTGTGTGTGTACAGCTCAGCTGTGCAGGCGACAACTTTGTCGGCGCTGCAAAGCTTCACTCAACCAACTATCTAACTAGCAAGCTTTGATTTATGTCGCCTGTGCCCCTGTGGCTCTCGTCGCCTTTTCTGCTTTGATTTAATTTCGCTTTGCTTGTGTATATAAGTATGTATGTATGTATGTATATGTGTGTCTGTGTTTTGCTGTTCTTGTTTCAATTTGGCATACATATTCCTCGTGTGATTTATTGAAATGAATGCAAGAGAGAGAGAGAGAGAGAGAGCAAGCTCGCGAACAACGGACAATAAGGGAAGACAGTAGTGGAAGATGAAAAAAAGGAATTTGTTCAAATTGCTAAATTAACAGGCGACAATGGCGATGGCGGCGGCGGTGGCAGCGACGGCAGCGTAGCCAGCGGCAGCAGCAACGAAAGCGAGCGCGCTTTGGGAACTTGTTTGCAGTTACCCCGCTGCTCCCTAAGAAATTCTAAACTGGTTGTTGAACTGCACACACACAAGCACACATCAAGCTTGGCTGTGGAATCAGTTGGCATTGAAACATTTATTGAGCAAAAAAGAAAAGAAATACATACATACATATGTATGTATGTACATGTGTATGTGAAATGCTTATGAGATTTGGCCTATACTATTGACGAAGAGATGCAGAGAGAGAGAGGGGAAAAGGTTAACGGCGCTTTTCCCACTATGAATTATTGTGTGCTTTGTTCTACAGTTTTATTTGCAATTTGCAATCTGCGGCAATTTAAAGTGGAATATAGATTATCGTGCAGAAAACTTGTGGAAAAACAAAGAGAAAATAAAAACTTAAAAACGCAAAATTTGTTGATTTGCGAAAAAGCGAATAAACAACGTTCAATATAATAAATTACGTTCACTATATCTCTTAAATATGCCCAGAGTGTGTGCGTATGAATCAGTGTGTGTGTGTGTATAGGCAATAGAAAATACAAATATTAAATTTGGGTTTGTTTCTGCTTTTTTATATGTATTTTTTGCCTTTTATCAAGATCTCAACTGAATTTTGTTTTGTAGTCTAAAAAACAAATCAGAGGCAGATAAGCTGACGAGTGGTACACACACAAACATAAACACACACTCATATGCATACACAGACGCATTCTAACGGTAAAAAAAACAGCCGCAATTATAAGATTAACACAAATAAAACAACGTGCGCGATTTTTTTATGCGTTTTAAATTTCCCATGCCAAAAAAAAAAAATGCGAGACACGGCAAAAAAAAAGTGCGTAAAAATAAAATTGACCTTGAAATTGTTGCTGCTAATTTTTTTCTCATTTTGTTTTGTGAGTGCAAATTGTTTGATTTTTGTGCTGATTGGAATTGGAATGTATTGGAAATGAGTGCGCGTGTATTTTGCCTCTTGCTTTTTGCTATTTTCTTTTGTGTTTGGTTTTAATTGAAAAGTTGTCACATTATTTATTTTAATTTTTGCGCGCCGTTTGTTAAGCTGCGTTTAAAAAATTAACTTTTTTCAATTTTATTCTGGCGGGTTTAATGCCCTGATAAGACGACGAAAGCACAGCCTTGAACTTGATGTGGTGGCAGCGGCAGCGCAAGTGCAAAAAGCAACAACAACAACAAAAAGTAATAATAATAAAACATAAAAAAGTATCAGAAACACACATAAGTAAATAGCAGCTGGCGAAAACAAAAAGAAGAACAAGAACACAGCATAAATATTTGCCCAATGTTCCAGGCGTGTGTTTGCCCCACTGATCTGAGCGAACGCGTCAGAGCGAGAGCTAAATTCCAAAATAAGTGCAGTCCACACACACACGCGCACACAGAGGCACTCGTGCATAAGTGCATATGTGTGCGCGTGCATTACAACTTGTTGCGTCTCGAATGGAATGCAGCACAACGAGTTTGATAGAGAGAGCGAGAGAGCGAAACTGCAATGCAGTGGGAGACATAAATTGCAATAGTAACCAGTTGTGGAGTCAAACGATTCTATAAATAAGACAGAAGACTCAACTAGAGGACAATGACCAAAAAAACCAATGAAAATAGAAAACTGTACACAGCAGCAGCAAATGCTGCTGGATGACATTCCAGACAATGCACACAGAGTTAGAGAGCGAGAGAGCGCCAAAAGTCATAGTTAGTTAATTGGGCGCAAGGCCGTTTGGGTATGTTTTGGAATTGGAACACGTTAAACAGGAAGTCAGTCGAGGTGTTTGAACTGCAGCAAGACAGTGTAAATAAAGATCAGAGAGAGAGAGAGAGAGGGAGAGCAAAAGGAACTAAGATTCAAACGCAGGCAAGACCACGGTACGTATGCATGTCAGTGTATGTGTGTGTATTTCATTTTTATTTTTTTGGGGTGCAATGCTTGTTTTATTATGCCCGTTGTTGTTGCTATTGTTTCAGTGGAAAAATTTTGTCTGGAAATGTCTTTTGATTTGTTTGAGAGGCGGGCAGGGTGGTACGGGGCATGGTGTGGCGAGGTGCTCTGCAATAAAACTGATTACTCGCGTCTGATAAAAGCGAAAAAGTAACTCCACCAAAAAGCGACCCACGCGACTTTTTTTAAATGCTCTTACGTTTAATTTATTGTCAGGACGGCGAATTGACATATAAAACTGACACAAAGATAAAAGTCGATTGTGAATTCGCCGCGGCGAATCAAAATTGTGTATGTGTGCCATTTTGGCATTGTTTCGCATTTCAATTTCATTAATTAGAGACTGCCGCCCAAAATTGGCAAAGAACATTGGCGGCGGCGTTTCCCCCTCCTCCTGCTCCACATCCTCCTCCGCCTACAGCATTCTCCTTCTCGCTCTGTCACTCTTCGGCATCATGCTTGCTCATCATGTGACGTAACTTGATGTTTCGCTTGAAACTCATTTAAATATGTCGCGCATAAGCAAACAGCTTATGACAGCAGGAAGAAGAAGAAGAAGCAGCAGCAGAGGCAAAGGCAGAGCACGGCTCACAGGTAGCCACCGAACAGGAGTAGTTTTAGTGGAAGGAAGGCTAGTGGAATGGGCGGAATGTGGGAAAGTGGAATATGGCAAAGAGCGCGCCTCTCATTATTGCTGCTGTCGGCTGAGTCATAACAGTTCTGTTGTTGTTTTACTGTTATTGTTGTTGCATGCCAAGTTTATTGCCCTCTGGGCAGTGGGAGAGGGCGGGGGCACCAACGACATGTTGACGGCACGCAAAGGACCTTCTTCCTTATTTTTTTTTTTATTTTTTGAATTTGGTTGTTAAACAAACGACAATTTGCACAACAAGTGAGCAGCAGATAGTGCTATCTCACTCTCACTCTCTGTCCCATACTCCTTTATTTACATGTGTGCGTGTGTGTGTGTGGAATAATAAAAACAAGGCCAAGGCACAGGCAGCAGCCGACTTCCTGGCGCGACTTAATTTGCTCGTAAAAACAGAAAGAGGAGAAGGGAGAGGGGGCGAGGGAGGTATGGCTTAACAGGCCTCTTGCCACGTGGCTCCATACTTAACAAACGGCAGCTGCAGTACATAAAAACAAAATGTGTATTCACGCAGGTGCAAACTGAAGAAGCAGAAGCAGCAGAAATGGCAACAGAACAAACATTGTTATGAAACAACAGCTAAGAAGGACATGCGAAGAGGATACGAGTTGAATGAACCAAACTAATACGAAAGAAAGCAAAAGAGCAAGCGAGACAGTCAGAGAGAGATAGAGAGAGCGAGCTGAGGTTAAATACCCTTAAGACAGCTGCGACTGCGCAGCAGCTGCTGCTGTAATTAAAAATAACACACGAAGCATAGAGGAACACGAGAAAAAGGAGCGCTGAAAAAGTAACAAGACAAGACAAGAGAGCAGCGAGCAGAGCTGGAAGGAGGGAGGCAAGCGAAAAGAGCGCTAAAATACATTTTTGCAAGTTCAGTGGCCAAATAAAAGTGTGGGAAAAAATTAGAGTAGATTTCAGCGTGTATGTGTGAGATATGGGAAGTTTTGAGAGCATGGAATATGGGAAGTTTTGAGTAAGCAGTTCAATGTCCGATCATACAGACATACATATGCATGTGTCTGTGAATATAACAGTGTCTTCCAGTAACAAATTGCAGTTCGTCGATGCGTAGGTGCGACAACTTCACAGTGTGAGCATGATTAAAGAAGAAAAGCAACAGCTGCTGCAGCTGCGCAGGATAAGGGCGAACGAGCGAACAGCACGTGTTGAGGCTTGAAGTAAGACAAGACAAATCTCTCAGGTAAGAAAAACGGCTACACACAGCTGCGCGCAACAATAATTAAACACGAACTCACATACATACATATGTATGTATGTATGTATGTATATACATACACATTCGGGTTTGCTAGCAATGATGAAATAGCACAGCAGACAATGTGAAAATGCGTAAAAAGAATTTGCGTAGCGCGTCAAATAGACGCCGCAAAGCAACAGCACACACTCACACACACGCTCTCTCTCTCTCTCTCTCTCTTCTCTGCTTACCTCTCACGCATGTGACACAAAATGAAAACGAAAACGAAATTTCGCTGCGTTCATTGCGAATGAACGTGTCAAGGGGGCAGGAGTGAGGTATACCCCCTCAGCAGGGATAGCAACTGCGACTGCGACATAGAGTGGGCGTTACAGTTGGCAGCATGTTTGCAGACAAGTCCATAAAAATGTTTATAAGCAAATTAAGAGCAACAACAGCAGTTGTGATACAAGCTGAATTCGGTTTGCGCTCGTTTCCATTGGAAAATGTGTGCTAATAAAGCACAATAATAATAATAATAGTAAACAAAAACAAAGTACAAAACATATGTTGACCTTCAAAAAGTGTGAGTGCAATAAACAAATGTCAATGTTTTTTCTTATTATTATTATTTTTGTTTTTGTTTTTTTTTTTTTTCAATATGCAAAGTCGAAAGTGCAAAGTCATTTCGAGCTGAGATGTAAATGTTAATTTTCCAGTAAGTGTAAATGAGATGGACGATAACAGCAGAAGCTGCTGCTGCTGCTTCAGTTGCTACTCTGCTGCTGTTACGACTGTATACGACTGTTCTTCTGCCATCTATTTTTAAACACAAATTGAGCCTCCTGACAGACAGCAAAACAACAGTTACACAGCACSCCCACTCTTGCGCGCTCGCTCGCTCCTAAGCGCCCTGCCCGCAAAGTAAGTACACAGAGTTGTTCTCTCTCCCTCTCTCTCACCCGCTTCCTTCTCGCCATACCTTGTTTACATGCACCTGATGCAGCCTCTGCTACTGCTACTGCTACTGCTACTGTTGTTGTCCCGTTATACTTGGGCTTTATCGGCAACAACAAACTGAAAAAAGTCAAAAGCTTATTGCAGACACGCGCCGTTTGTGCGCGTTTCACTTGTTTTTGTTATTTCGCATTAAAAGAAAATATAAAACAAGAGTGGAGTGAGCAGCGGGGGGAGTACAGAAATAAAATGCATACAATGCAATTTGCAGCTGCGTTTGCATTTGCAAGCAGCGCGCGACACGTGCCAAAGCCGCGACTTTGTTAGTTTATTGATTTACCGTTGTTGTTGCTGGCGCAAAATCTGAAAGCAAATTGGCTTAGCACAAAAATAAACAGCAAATTGCATGCAAGCGCCACACCAGAGAGAGAGAGAGAGAGAGGGAGACAGATATGAATGCGCTTAGATAGTTTTTGTTGCTGGGGAACACAGTAAGTGAAACGTGAGACGCAAAAGGGAGGCGGGTGCCATTCCGTTCCTGTGCTGACCATCTCTCTCCCTCGCACTGACGCACCAGCAGCAGCAGCTGATCTTGAACGACGTCAGCTTTTCGCCTGCTGTGCGGTCTTTTTGTTTCAATCGATAAACAAACAAATTACAACAACAACAACAACAACAATAGAGCAAAAACTGTCGTCAATTGCGTGCGGGCGTCGCTGTCAGCATTATCAGAGCAGAGGAGACGACGTCGACGTCGACGTCGCTGTTGCTGTTKTTGATGTGTTGATTATCAAAAGACGTCAAAGACAGCGCAGAGTATGGGTGTATGTGTGTGTTGCCCCTATTCATAGCTTTTGTGTGAGATAAAAATGCCATTAGCCTAAGTCTTGGGCTGTGCGAGCTGTGATGAAATTTCCAATAAATATGTATGTATGCATGAATATTTATACATCAAAACAAACTCGAATGAGCTGAGTGAGCAGCAGACGAGCGAGCGAGAGAGAGAGAGAGAGATAGATGCACGTGATTGCCGCGTGACCAGCAAAAATGGGATTATCAGCAACATTTCTATATGTTGGTCTCTCTCTCTATCTTTCTTCCTCCCTATCTGTCTTTGACAACTTTGTCGCCTGGCACATAGCATTCGCATAGCATTTGCCAGCCGACAAAAATGCAAAAAACGTTTTCACAACAGCAACAGCTGGTTTCAGTTTCAGTTTGCGTTCGTCTCTCTCTCTCTCTCTCTCTCTCTATCACTCTCTCTCGCCTGTTCGCTCTCACTGTGTGTGGTGTGTGTTTTGATTTGTTGGCAGCCGCCGCCACAGCAGCAGGTGACTTGCGTTGGCGTTGGCGTTGGCGCCGTCTGCATTTGCGACCGCATTTCGCGCTAGTTGCTCGCCGGCGCCAAGCAGCCCCACAAATGCTGTCAATGGGGCTGGGCGTGTGGGGGGTGGCTTAGTACAGACTGGCACAGGTGTGAATGAATCAAATTCGAATTAAAATTCAGACACTCTGCCAGCCAGTCAATCATTCCATCAATATCTTGGTACGGTACTCACTTGCATACTCTCGACGCGAGTGTATGTCCACGGCCAGGTAAACCATGCTGAAGCTGCCCTCGCCAATGTAACGGCCAAAGATGAAGTCGTTGGGCGAGCGGCGAGGAGGTGGCGCGACTTGTTGCTGTTGTTGTTGTTGCTCCTGCTGTTGTTGTTGGTGCTGTTGCTGCTGTTGTTGTTGCTGCTGTTGCTGCTGCTGCTGTTGTTGTTGTTGTTGCTGTTGTGCAGCTGGAGGCGCTTGCTCCTGTTGTTGCTGTTGCTGCTGCTGCTGCTGCTGCTGCAGCTGACGTTGGTACGACGGCGACTCTCGACAACACATTCTAATGCGCTGCGGCGTTGACACAACTGACGAACTGTTGCTGGCCACGGCTGCTGCCAGCGGCGAAGTATAACCTGAGAGAGCAAGACAGACAGAGAGAGAGAGAGAGAGAGAGTGTGCGTTAATGCGTGAGCAACTTTTTGATAGAGACAAAAAATGATGCTTACCGTTTGTCAGATACATGTTGCTGCGGCAATAGCTGCGATTGTTGCTGCCGCTGTTGCTGTTGTTATTGTTGTTGTTGTTGTTGTTCTCTGTATGGCCAGCAGGCGTTGCTGCTGTTGCTGCTGATGCCGAGACAGCGCCACAGCCGCAGGTGTGGTGTTGCTGTTGTTGCTGTAGTTGCTGCTGCTGTTGCTGTTGCTGTTGCTGTAGGCGCGTCGCTGTCGTCATAGCGCCCACAACCACCAGCTTAAGGGCTGAGAAATTTGACTCACTTAATGAAACGGCAGTTGTGGCTTTTTCTTTTGGCATCGCCGGCATTGTTGTTGCCGTTGTGTTTAGTTGCTGCTGCTGCTGCTGCTGCTGCTCGATGCTGTTGGCAGCAACGTTGCTGCTGCTGCTGCTCGAGGCAGAGACGACAACGGCGGCGGCGGCTGCAATGCTCGCGGCGCTGCTTGGCGATTGTAACTGCTGTGTACCGTTAATCTGCAAGAGACCGTAGAGAAGAGGAAGACTGTGAGAGAGCGCTTCGAATATGGAGTAATAATCAATCAGTGTGAGTCGGTGTCCCTCTATGTGTGTATGTGTGAAGGTGTGTGTGTGTCTCAGTTGATTTTGAGAACGCAATAAATTAGCGCGCAGTCGCGACCAGCCTAAAACGTAAGTACAAACTCAACAAAAACAAAAACAAAGCGACAAAGCGGAACTTGAAAGAAAGCCACAATAGCAGAACAGGTCCCACACACACACACACACACGCACATGCTGAGAGTGCGACAGAGACAGATAGCTATTTATTTGAGCTTTTTAGGCCTATGCTTTAGGCGCTGCTTCTGCTGCCGTCGCCATTGACGTCAAGTTCAAACTTGGCATTTGCTGTCTCGCTTGCACGCCTTGGCTGGCCATTGATGTTGTTGTTGTTATTGTTCCGGGTTCAAGGACTTGGCTAGCATAAAAATCTAATCAAGTTCATTGCCCACCTGTTTACATTTCTATTAACCATCGAGAATTGAGGTGAAGAAATCGCGTTTCTGTGGCGTGATCCGAGCGGATCGGGTGCGGACCTGGGGCGAGGGGGCTTTGGGGATAGGGTTGGCCCAGACGTCGTCGCGTTGTCTGCGACGGGTTTTTTTCCTGCCGCTATCGTAAAAACGCAAAATTATCAAATTATGCAAAACGAATGCAAAACAAAAGCAAAAAGCGCAAATTCAAATCAAATAAAAACAAAACAGAATTTAAATAAAAACAAGGTGACCAAATGCGTCAATGAAAGTCAGCAGCAGCAGCAGCAGCCGAAGCAGCGACTAATTCAAGTCGAAATCCACAATGGAAAAATGGAACCGAGCTTCGAGCACACAAAAGAATGCGTACAACTTGACATTTTTACAGGGTATAGTGAATTAATCAGCGCAATCAAATGCCAAACTGAATGGAATCGATGCTAAAGCAAGTGCAGTTAGAGCTCACTTTCTGTAGGTCGCTTTTGATTGGCAAATCGCGTTTTTGACCCCAGGGAACTTGGGTACTATAGCAGCTAGATTGTTCAGATTGGCGTGTATATATACTATTAGGCAATAATCATATCAATATTATAAACGTGCACTCGACAACTATGCAGCAGTAGCATTTTCTGAGAATTACAGGGTATATTCAAGGCGAAAACCTTATAATTATAAGGAAACTTGACATATTTCAGAGTATCTCTATAGTCAATACTTGAGATCTATACAGAGAGAAACAAGTTTCCATTGCAAACTATTCCCAGAAATGAATTGCAATATACAGAGTATCGAATTATGCAATACATTCGATATATTTCAGAAAGAAATAACAGAAATTAATTAAATATATATTTATTGACTTTTTATATAAACATATATTTATTTTTGAACTCGGCCGCAGCCTGGTTTTATTTGGATTTCGACATTTTATAGCTCGAATCTGATTTTTGATTTCTGATACGATTCGATTTGATTTGATTTCTGATTTGATCTTTCCTTTTGCTAATTAGCTACATTTTGGGCCGCATCTGCGTCACAGAGCAAAACTGGTTAAAAACCCATAAAAAAATATATAACACAACCATATTGAATGAAGAAGAAGCAGAAAGAGTAACAGGAAATGTCAGCGCAGCAAGCGGCAACAAATTGCGAATTCTTTTAAAAGATTCCCAGATCTGATTATATGTATATATGTTATTATATTCTATATGATCGGCTGATTGAAGCTTGTCAGCTTTTGCAGTACACTGAGCGACAAAGGCAGAAGTTAAGAATGCTTAATAAATGTATTTCATTTATAATTTACTTAATTTTAATAATTCCATTTCTTATAATTTATGTATTGAACGGATTTTTATACTATATACATTATATTTAGATATTTATACTTTATATAACATCAGAATTTACTAACTTCACGTACAGTCCACTCTTTTCTGCCAGTGTATCTAGCAGAATTATTTGGAAAATTTTCAAATGAAAGCGAAGAAGAAAATCACAACAACAACAACAACTGGAACGCGCCCCCTCGTTTGGGGCGTATGCGTGGGCGTGCTTAGCACAGAAAACATATGACCGAGCCAGGGGGTATGCCAAGCGCACACATACCCCTCTCTCTCTACACACACACACACACACACAGGCATGCTCTATATATACCTATAGATCTATATATATTCTAATGCGATCCGATCTCTGTCGTCGTCGTCGTCGTCGCCGTCGTCTAGACGAAAATGACATTTAAATGAATCTATTTTATTGTCGCTTCGTCGCCATTTCAACACAGAAGCCCACCTACCGCTGCCACGCCCCCTTCTCGCCCACTTTGATTTTATAAATAAAAATGTTCGTCTAGCCAATTGAGAGAAAATAGCAGCAAAAAAAGAAAAAAGCGAAAAGAAATGCAAAAAATGCAGTGGAAGCGACGTCGGAGAGAGATCGGATGAAGGCGGCACTACAAGGTGTCTATTGGCAGCCTCAAACAGCACAAATTGCGCTAAATATACGCAGACACAGACAGAGAGAGAGAGAAAGAGACAGCGATAGAGGAATACATAAACAAAAGTGTTTATTTAAACATAAACACGAAGAAGAGCATTAACTATAAAAGAAAATAGATAGATACATCGGGTATATACATATATGTGTATATATGCACATATAAAAGATTATATTCCGATTTGGTTGCATGGAACGTGTTGTTGAGCACGTAAGCCCAAAAGAGAAAGAAAAGACTGAAGTTAAGCCGAGAGTGACGGACTAAAAGATACCAGACATAGGTGTCTATAACTGTGATTGGTATTACGAAAATGACATGAGTTACCAGACAGAACAAAATATGATAAACTCGCCCTGAATTCCCATTCGCAATGGATTCAGGCTATGCCTGAGAACTAGTATTAGTTACAGCTGTTCAATCGAAACAAGTTAGACTACTTATAGCAGAGATCTTACCTATATGAACTAGCCTTAACTAGTCTGATCTAGTCTTTTAATGCATTTACACTGAATTTGCTAATATATTTTATTATAATCAGATACTGAATTAGAAACTCAGAATCTGTTAGGCATATCATATTTATATATTCTACCCAGAATCACTTGAGAGCCAGACGAAATTCTTCTGAATGAAACTGTTAAACAAATCGCATAATATCCAACTATTACCATCCCACTTGAATCCTCTCCTCACTCTTGCTCACTCACTCACTCTCTCTCACTCCCTAGCTGAAACACCTTTCACTTTTTTCTGGTATGCGTCTAATTTGAAAGAAAAACAAATTCGCTGAGATGAGAAGAATTTCGCATGGAAAAATTTGCAAAAATTATTTTTGTTAAGCATTTTTTTGATGTGCGTGAAGCTATTTATAGATGAATTAAAGATACATTTGTTGTAGTTGTAGTTGTTGGGGGATCGAGCGAGTGTATCTAAATTATTATAATTTCTGTTTGTTTTTATTTCTATTTGATTTTTTTTTTTTTTTTTTTTGCGCTCTGGCGACATGTTTAGCATAATTTGTGATGGACGTGGAGTGGGGTAGGTTTCGCTATAGACCACGGGCAAACCCCGATCCAAGTTCTGTATACATATAATGTATGTGTGGTATATATATATATAGATATAGTGATTTAATGATTCTACGATTTTACGATACCTGCATTGAGAGAATTCAAAATGAAGTTGTGGGGCCCGCGGCTTCCTTTTTCGGCGGCAACGTGTAAAAGTACTGAGCACCGAAGGTGAGACACAACAGCAATAAAAGGCAAAACAGAATGTTGAAGGAAAAGTGAAAAGAGTTGAACAAAACGGAGAAAACGATTTGAACGTGTTACGGCTTGGGATAAATAGTTACGCAGGATTTTTCGTTTTAATAACTAAATCAAGGCCTACTGCGAGCTAAACCAAACCCAAATCGTAAAAAAAACAAAGCAAAACAAAAATAAGAAATGAAAAAAATACAAAAGTCACACGTAAATAACTGTTGTTTTGCTTCATCCTCTTTCTGCTAAGCGGAAGTTGTAAAAATGCGCTTATGAATGAAAATGCACGCAATGCAAACACAAACAGAAACGCAAGAGGCCCAACAACAAATTCAAAACAGAAAAGCAAATGCAAATGCAAACTGCAAACATTCCAATTGGAGTAAGCGAGTGAGCGAACGTTGGCTCACTCGCACCCACATACACACGCCAAAGCTCGCTCGCTCTCTTCATCTCTGTTTGACTTACGTCGTTTACATTGGACGCGCGCTCTGTTTGTGTATTTTATGTTGTAATTGCGTTTTACGGTACAAATTCCAATGGGCCACGCACTGAGAGTCTGCCACACTTAGTAAGAAGAAGATGCGCGCGCGTATTTCCTTATCTGTGTGCGTGCCTGCCTGCGTGTGTGTGTGTGTATTTAATATATTTTTGCTTACACACAATTTCTCAGCACTTATTTGCACTTTAAAATTTTTTGTTTTTATAAAACTTACTTTAATTTATATATTTTTTTACTTTTTCTATTAGACTTTTTCGCAAAGGCAAAAATTTCCACGACGAATGAACAGGAACACACACGAACAAGAAAACGATGATGACGTTGTTGTTGGCAGTATGTATGTATATATATTTATATRTGTGTGTGTATTTAGGAACTTCTTTTTAAGCTATTGAACGAATTTAGAGCGAAGCACAAGAACGCAATGAAAACGAAACCACAAACACAACAATTTATGAAACGAAAACTTTACTGCTGCTGCTGCTTCCTTTTATTTATTTATTTTTTTTTTTATGTAATTTGTTTGGCCTTTTGCGGTGTATTATTTAATCGCACAGAGAGCAAAGCGCGAACACATACATTGATAATCAAAATACACATACACACACAAGTTTGGGGCGTTTCGCATGTATATGTGTGTGTTTTTGTGTGCGTGCGTCTGTTTTGAGCGAAACGCGTGCACAATCGAAACGAAACGAAACGTCCGGTTTCAAAGCGTCACAAAAACTAATCAGAAGTGAAAAACACAAAATGATGTGGGCCCCAACAAGCCAGCAGCAGGCAGCCGCAGCCGCAGCACCAGCGCACGAGAGAGCTCCGAATAGAGCAAGAGAGAACGAGCCGAGTCAAGCCGAACCGATTCGATGTTATGTGCATAATGGGGCCAAAGCAGCGCAGCCGCCGCTCAATGAGATTTGTGGTTATTGTTGTTGCTCGGCGCTGGCGCCTTCAATTTTTTTCTTCTTTACAAGGCGAACAAGTTGTGCGTCAGGTCGTGAGAGTACACAGCAGCAGAGAGAGAGAGAGAGAGAGAGAGAGAACGCAAGCGAGCTCGTACAAGAGAGCGAACCTAAGCGCCTGGTAATTGTAGGTTTTAATGCTTCATAATTGTTGTTGTTGCTGTCTGTATATATGTACATACATACATATGTAATAGTGTCTAGGCTTTGCCATAGACATAAATGGCATCCACATAACAATCGCCCCGACCCCTTGAAATTAAATGCTACCATCCACAACAATTCAATCCACACACAGAGAGAGAGAGAGAGAGCGCCAGTAAGCGGTTTGTTTTCGTTGCTCTTTTTCTGTTTTGTGTTTTTGTTTTAAAGAGGCACCCGCATTCCTAACTGTAAACAAGCAAGAAGAAGAATGCATGCGCTGCCGCTGCCTGGAAAAACTCGTTTTTCCCGCTGGAAAAATGTGTGCACACACACAAACACACACGAAGCATACAACAAAAAAAAAAAGAAAAAACAACACAAAAAGAATTTCAAGAATTTGTAGCCCACAAGAGAGCGCGTAAAACGACGTCGACTTCGAGATGTAAAAATAAACAACAAAAGTCGGGTGGAAAAACACGAAGCATACACGCATACACACACACACACGCACACGCATATCGAGCGTGTGTAGGTAGGCGAGACAAGGACAAGGAAGCGGAGAACAAAACAAAATGCGAGTGTGTGTGTATGTGTTGAACGAAAACGAAGGCAAAAGACAAGACACAACACAGGAGACAATAATAACACTACTAAAAACAACAACAACGGCTGGGAAAAAGCCTGTAGTAAACAAAACAAATGGCGGGCGCGGCTGCGACGGCAACTGAGACGCCGACGGCGACGTCAACGTCAATGTAAATAAATATTATAAAATATGCATCGGTGTATGTGTGTGTGACATGCACAAGTGAAAGGCGCAAAAGGAAACAAAGTGGGAGTGGGCAGAGCGGGAAGCTGGAGAACGGGCAATGAGCAGCGGTAAGGGAAGGGGAACAGAGGCCGATTACAGTAAAAATGAAATAAATAAATAAATTTATTTATTATTTAGTTGTTTTCGTCTTGCGCTCATTTTAATTGTCAATAAAAACAAACAACAAAAAGCAATTAAAATCAGCTGCCAGCAAAACAATTTTTATTCTGATTTGTTTGTTTTGTTCAACAATCTAACAACAATTTTCTAAATACTTTTGGTTTCGATTTTTAATTTTATTTTATTTATTTATTTTTTTTTTTTTTTTGCAAAATTATGGCCTGTCAACATTTATTTTTAACTTTCATATATTATTAAGCGTATAAATAAGATGTAATAAGTTTAAAAATAGGATTGAAAATAATATTTTATTTTCGTTAAAGTTTGCATACTAATATTTATTTTTATTTTAGTTATATATTATAAATAATTATACTTTTTTTTTGTATCGTTAC